AAATTCTCCTTAATTTTCTTCTCCATGCGACCAAATTACAAAGTAGTCATCTAGGTGCTGCATGAACACTCCTAGTTTAAGCGGTGATATTTTGAATTTTTATATTTTTTCATGCATACTTTTGATATAAAAGGTTAGAATGGCGACCCAATAGGAAGTTCAAATATTTGTTGATAGATATCACCGTTACTTTTGGAAGTAGGCGGTTGTTATTGTCATGTTGATTAGTTGTATTAAAGACTCCCTCCTGGCCTTTTGCTTTTAGGATATTCTCTTCTCGATCCAAGAATTCCAGTGTGGCGTCAGTGCATTATCTCCAAATATATCTGTACACAAAGTACAAAATGAGGTCTCTAGTCTCACTTTTCGCAAGTATATACATGAAAAAATTAGAAAAGGAATTCGAGGGTTCACTTGTCTTATTGACGATTTGTAGCTTGGTGTCTGTTCTTGTCTGATGGTGCGGGCATAACGTTTGAGAATGTTACAAATCCATGGCCCGACGCTGGAAATGATCGTGGTTGCTATGTCAGAGGAATTGCCATCCAGACAGTTCGCTTGGTCATAAAACTCCTATACATGTCATTTCATTCTGGTTTTCGCATCTGCTAGAGTCTCTTAAGAACCTGTCTAATCTGAATTATAGAGTATTCTTTAAGCGTATAGCCTCATTTGTTTCTTTTTAATTCTTTTATTACTCAGATTGACAAACTCGGCCATGGCTACCAAGGTGACCCGGCCAGTGCCCTCTTGGAACTCTTGGACCCTGAACAGAATGCCAATTTCCTTGATCACTATTTAGATGTGACCGTGGACCTGTCTAAAGTCCTTTTCATATGCACTGCTAACGAACTCTCCACGATACCTGGTCCTCTTATCGATCGTATGGAACTTATTGAGGTGTCTGGCTATGTGGCAGAAGAGAAATTGGCCATATCTCAGGTATTTTTTTTCCTGTTTCATCTAATTTATTTCAACTTTGGATTTAACATCTCTGTAGACCACAAGGTTATCGGCAAGCTATATACTGATAGTGTAGACAGTGCTGTATAAAATGACGGCTAATATCACAAATAAATTAGGGGCAAAAAATCTGTTAAATCAAGTCCCCTTAAGTCATATTCTATTAGATTGAACTAAAGTTGGATATTTAGTCAATGACATGAGTCAAATTTTATATTTAATTAACTTTCACACAACCTTGCCTCCCGAAATGCTTTTTAAACAAGGCTGGATGATAGTTTCAAACTTATAAAGATCTCATCGGTCTCATCGAAATTCGCGCGTACTGTTTATTTATTACAACAGCGAGACTAACGCTATAGGGGATTTATTACCTTTCGTTCCCATAAGTTGATGTCCTACTTTTATTTAATTTTTCCCAAATTGAAATGCCGATAAATTTATTTTCGCTACTAATGACCCTCTGATAAATTTTAAACCAACTCATTACATTTATATGCATCTTCGTAGGACAACTGTCCTACCACAAATATGAATTAGGAGAAGCTTAGTTTACCTTAAAAGTTAAATCTGCTTGGTAGACTGGTAACTCGTCACTTCTTAAAGACCCGGTTTTAAATCCCGTTGTTGATAAATAGATGAGGTCAAAACAGCAGCCAACCCTCGAGAGGTAACATCCTCTTAACGTGTATCGGTTAATTTTCCACTATTTTTTCGCTGGCCAACCTTCTAAGAGACTTCATTTCATTCATTTATCTTAAACATATTTAGGCTATAATTTTCTTTGAAAAAGGTTGAATATGCTTTATAGTGTGCAACTAATGTCTAGTTTCACAAGGATCAGGACTGACATCTCTTAAATGTCAATGCTTCTCGATTTATTTTTAAAAGTTGAAAAATGCAATTTATTCCTACCAAAGTGATCAAGTCCACTTTAGCACTTTATTTGCCAAGTTAAAGTACAAAGAAAAGCATATTATAATATTAAACTCTTTTTCGAACCTTCCAGCGATATCTCCTTCCCCAAGCTTCTTCAGACTCAGGTTTGTCGTTGGAACAATGTTCTATAACCGACTCTGCTCTTCAGAAGTTAATCCGACAGTACTGCCGCGAAAGTGGAGTTCGCAATCTACAGAAGCATATTGAGCGCGTAAGTATTACTCTTATTTTATTTCCTTTAGCCATCTTTCTAGATTGCTCATATCTATTTAATTCATTACTTTATTTTATTAGACTGTTTATGAGCTTAATCACTTATCGAAGATATGAAGGCTAAGATGGTGAGGACCCCGATGTAGTCGCAGTCTCCTTTCGATATATAGAAGTTTGTTGACCTCGTTGTCGCAATTTGGTCTTGCTGTCAGGGCGACTTAGTAGAACGCACCTAGTCCGAACTCCTCTGCCATAGTAGTTATCATAATTCCAAGTATCAGAGAGTTGGTATATTCTCAAACATTTCTCTGGCATCGTAGTCGGCATCATCAGTGAGTTTTGCCAATATGCAACAAGCTCCGAACTCGTCAAAGAGAAAAGTGAAATCAACACCTCGACTAACGTTCTGTCGAAAACGGTTACACTATCACTCCTCTTTCTGTCCTGGTGGGATTGCCCATTAAGCAAACGTATATTTGCTATAGCAATCGATTACGTTACTTATTTTCGTATTGGAGTAGAGTTTACAGACTACAAGTAAATCAGTAATATGAGATGTATTCACCCTATTTCGTCTAAGGTGATGATGAGTGAATACATCTCATACTACTGATTTACTGGTAGACACGAAAAACAATACTTAATTCGAAAATTAAAGTATAGTAGTAGATTGTGATAGCAGATATACGTTCGCATTATCGACAATTCCACCAAATGAATATGATATGGCAAACAGGCCTAGCTTTCCTTGAAAATCACATTTTCCCTGTGACTCATAAGGCGCTCGTTGCAATGTAGCTTTGTGGTTAGCGTGTAAAGCTCCA